GTAGCACAAGACTACCAAACCGCAACCTGTCTTTCGATTTAATACATGCTCCATTTCTCTTATTGGGGAAATGCTCATGTGGCCAGGACGGGGGGGGTTGGGGAGGGAGCCGCGAGCCGCACTTTAACACGCGAAAAGTCGCATGCGGCTCGTGAGCCTCAGCTTTGCCACCCCTGATATATGCAGTGCACCGTCGTCGACACGCTTTTGTGTGCAGCGACAGAAAGCCCAAGACCATAGACCCTGACAGCTATGAGGGGCCTTTCCAGTGCCTGAAGAACAAAAGGCCCTTTTAAGGGCCAAACAAATCTGCTTTTGGAGCAGAGGACTTGCTGCCAACTCCCGTGTCCCAAGTGAAGTCTCATGTTTCGGTTAATATGCTTCGCCTTCTGTATGCTTTCATGTGACTTTTATAACACAATTTCAATAAATTTTAAGGCATTGACTGCCCAAATATAAGTTCAAGCATCTCTCATAGCTACTATGTGCAGGGGTATGAAGCTTATAAAACAAAAGATCATCTGAGAGGGTTACTGCTGGAGTACAAGAAATACCAGTGCCTGTTCGGGGGATTCCTTCAACTGTTGCTTTCCATGAGAGTTGCAAGAAAAAAAAGTATGGGTGTGCGAATAGCAGAATTTTAGCTTGAATGAAATCAAATATTCCCAAATAGTTGGCATAAAGTCAAATGTATAATCAAATATTGAATACCAAGAATTCTATTTGAGGCTCCAGATGCCAAACCAATGAAGGGCGTCTGGCACAACCTAATGAAATACTGGGGAGTAGTGTAGGTCATCTAGGGACCTTGAGGTAGAACCGAAATCTCGGTTACATAGTGCCCTTTCCGCAATAAGCCTCTGTCAGATTGCAGGCACCATGGACAGGACTGGATCCCGCCAACTGGGGATCCGTAGGCAAACGTTCTGCTCTGGAGCCACCGAGGCAGCTACTCTTGAATGTAACATTAATGCACTCCAGGACAGCTTACATGGCAGTTTATGTGGCATTTTTATTAATGAAGGCCATCAACGCAGTCGCAAGCTCCTGTTGCACCTTGATGGTGGTTTCCTGCAGGACGATTTCCTGCTTGCGTAGGGTGAACTCTCTTCCTCTTAAAGCCTCAAAACTCTGCCTGAGCAGTCTCTGTTCATCGATCACCGTTTTGATGTACGCGGTGCTCAGAGCTTGCGGCCTCTTCCTTTTTTGTAAATATGAAACAGGGTTTCATATTTGGGATCATATCTCTGATTTATGAACAAATCAGATAACGCAGTGGTATCTTCACAAGTAGATGTTTACAATATCTGCCGCACGATGGCAACACAATTAAACTGCGAGGAAAACTAGTGCTGCACGGAGGGGCTGAACCATACCACATCATTTTCCGTAAAAGCTGCTTTTCCAATAACAACAAGTGGCAAAACAAATGCATATCCTAGGTAACAAAAGAGCAGACAAATTGGCCACTAAGCATCTACTGCCAACTACCTTACAGATTCCATTTCAAGAGATAAAGCCCTTAGTAAAATCATTATTTTTCCAGCTGTGGCAATCGGAGTGGAGTCTGGAATGCGAAAACAAACTTCACATTATTAAACCAGCTTTTGGTGTGTGGGAGAGTTCATCTTACAGAACCCGCCGCCATGAAGTTTTTCTGTGTCGTCTTAGAATTGGACACGCCTACCTCACCCACAAACATCTGCTCAGGGGGGAAGCCTCACCCCTGTGTGATGACTGTGGGGAACGTTTAACAATTTTACACATTTTGTGGCTGTGCTCATGGCTTGAGGAAGAACGACATACACATTTTCCCGAGTTCTTTTCACACCAGATTTCTTTTCACCCAGTGCTGCTAATTGAGGATACTCCCATAGTACCGTTTGATTGTGTCATAAATTACTTAAGAAAAACCGGCTTCCTACTGGAGTTGTAATTTTAATTCTATGACTTTTAACCTTGTTATATAAACCTCTTTTAGATAATTTGTGTCAATAAGTCCTGAGTATGTTTCAACTAAACAAGCTTGGCGCAGTGTGGCCATAGTAGCTTTGCACTATAAAGCCCGTAATCAGCAACATCCGGTTTAAAAACATGAGATGGATGCACCGACGGATATAGTCCAAATTTCAGCAAAAATTAGCTTAGTTTCGGTTTCTGGCTTGTTTCGGGCCAGCTGGGGATGATGCCACTCCCAAATTACAGGGGGTCCACTGGCCTGTGGTTGGGGTAGGCGTCGTTGTATGGCATTCCAAGAAGTCTGGTCCTTCTTTTGTGTTTCGTTGGTTTCTCTTTAGAGAGAAAAAAAGGGGGAGTACAAAGCTGCGTCTGAGTTGCGTCGAGCAAAGCATTAATTGGGAAAATAACCCTAATGTAAAAAAAGGGAAACACATAGGGCTCCAGGACATTTCATTCAACACCGTTTCATCGAAAAAGTGGTCATCTCGTACCGAAACGTCCAGTTATAACAATTGGCCGGTGTTTTTAAACAAGAATCCTAATAGCAAGCAAAAAAACATTGCTAAAAAATAAAAAAATAAAAAATTGGGGCTGGTGGAGGGGGGATGTGGTGGAAACTTGAATCCAGGCGTGTCCTTCGTTGTGCCATTCAAGCGTTTGCCGTTTGAGAGGACAATGAGAAATGACTTCATAATTTACAAGATTCAATAATTTCAATGTATAATTTTTCAAGTGCTGATTGTTGGGCAAGTTGGTATGGTACGTTAGAAAACATGATTGCGCTTTGACGGCGGGGCATAGGAAGGACAGACACCACAGAGCGCTAACTTTCAACTGATTTAATTCAAGAACCTCAGTGTAGAAACACACTGCGTCACCGCACCACATCTCAACCAATCCGTGGCCCTGCCATGGACCGCAAGTATGCCAACTCCTTATCCGCCAAGTCAATTAACGCCACACTGACAGAACACGCGCCGGAACTATTTATAGCGTCAACCTCCATAATCTCTCTAACAGTCCTATCTTTGTGCCTAGCAAGAACAGTAGACGAAGCAAATAATAAACAGTAGACGAAGCAAAATTTTCAAATTTTTGTGACAGAAGCTTTTGACCTATTCTATGAAACGGCGTTCAATGAAATGTCTGGTCCTAGGTGCTGTTGACCTTTTAGCGTGCAACAAAACCTTAGATCAGAAAAAAATATTGTAAGGGTGCAGGCAAGCTGATGAATATTAACCATGTTGGATTAACTTGAGACTGGGGTAGAGAATAAACATCAAAACATAGAAGAGACAGAAATTTGACAGGACAACGTTTTTGAGACGTTGTCCTGTCTGTTTTCTGTCTCTTCCACGTTTTGATGTTTCTTCTTAGTTAATCTAACATGAAAAATCTTAGATGCCTCGCTTTGTGAAAATATGATGACTGAAAACCGGCCATCGTCTTCCAGGCACGTGCCATCTTTTGCGGTTCCGATATAAAAGAAAAGGTGCAAGTTGATGCCAAAGTCACAAATGTCGGAAAAAAGCTTATAGAAGAAAATCTCGCCGCAAACCCGACTGATGCGGAGGAAAGCTCACTGCCCTTTTGATGAATGCGGCGGAAACCTACGTACGATTCTCATTTTTGGAAATAGAATTCTCTTGGTATCTGAATTATAGCAATATTCTTTTCCGTTTTTGGTATTGTTTGTTTTGTAGTCCCCTTTTATGTCCATACCTCAGCAAACTCACTCACGCTCACTCACACTCACTGCCTAATTTTGAGTGAATTTGAGTGACTGTGATATGACTCTGAGTTTGTGATATGATATCGAATGACTCTGTGATATGACTTTGAGTTCGTGAGACAATATCGAATGACTGTGATATGAGTTTGAGTTTGTGAGATGATATCGAATGACTCCGTGGTATGAGTTTGAGTTCGTGAGATGATATAGAATGACTCCCTGAAGAGTTTGAGTTCGTGAGATGACATGGAATGACTCCGTGACATGACTGAGTCCGTGAGATGATATTGAGTGACTCCGTGATTGACTTCGTGAGATGACATCGAATGACTCCGTGATGTAACTTGAGTCTGAGAGGATATTGAGTGACTCCGTTGTCTGAGTTCGTGAGAAGATATCAAATGACTGCGTGATATCACTGCATGATATGATATTCAGTGACTCTGATATCACTCCGTGAAGTGATACTGAGGGACTCCGCGTTGAGATTGTGCGTTCAACTGCTCCTCAGAAGTAAAACAGAATGTGCTATATTTGGATCTGGAAACTTCAAAACAAGGTGCCTAGGGCTTTTTTTTTTTTTTTTTTTAACGAAGTTGAGGTTTTGGAGGCGCCCCGTCCAGTACGAAGGCCGCCGAAAGATGTTTACCACCCAGTTTACAACGTCAATGAGTTCCTTGGCGGCCTCCTCATTTCGAATTTCCCCGTTCACTGCTAGCTGGGGAGTGTGGGCTGCACATCTGATTCGATGGCATGGACAGAGCTTCGGAAACATAGATTTCTGACATGGAGCACTCTCCTGGGCTGGCTTCCTCTTCATCGATGTCCACATCAGCAGCTCCGTCGACATGCCACTTGTCGTTCATTAGAGTCGACATATTAAAAGCCTTCGTCATGTTCGATGCATTGTCGCAAACAACACACCAGATCTGATTTTTCTGGACACCGCGTTCCAGCAGCTCGTTCTCAAAGGCTTCCCGAATATGATCACCAGTATGGTGTCCTGTAAAGTGCTTAAAAGCCAGCGTGCACCTTCTTAGCTCCCAGCTAAAAACAAACTGCACTTTTATTCCTATAATAGAGGCCCTCTTCCTGCTCGACCACAAATCCACGATAAAGTGCTGTGAGTGGAATGTGCACTGTGCGAGATCTCCAGAGAGAGCAGGTATGGCAACTTTATTTGCCAAGTGCTCAAGAACACGACTCATTGTTCTTGGGGACATGATGTTCAGTTCGGGCTTGAGGAAATCAATGAGCTTGTTGAATCCCACGCCTTTTGTGAATGACAGTGGGAGGCCGTCGACGGCAATCATTTTGGCAAGGTACTGATTAAACTTTTTTTGAAACGAGTCTGATGGAGCCAACTTCTTTTTCGCGTGTTGTTGATATGGTGCCAGAGTGCTGTCCAACGTTCGTTGTTTCTTGCTCTCTGATGCTGCTGCATACTCTTCTTTGTGGAGCAGCTGAAAATAAAAAAAACACTAATTATTATAATGGCTATCGTGGCACTAATATCTCAGTCATTTACAATAATTTAAAGACAAGCCATTTTCTTTAGCGGCCTGACTGGTCAAAAATTTAAATGCTAAAGCTTAAATAAAAGAGTGATTGTTGCACGTGTGATTACCCAAGATGAAGAGAGGAACGTATTTCACAGATAATCAATAGTTACTGTCAAAGCAATAGACCTTTCCAATGTTTACAAAATCGCAGCCCAGCGAGCGGTCTTCACAGTCAAGCACGTGCATGTTCGTGGCCTGGGAAAGTGATCAAAGCACGTGCCAAACGCACAAACACTAGAGATGGCACCCACCACACGCTCTTTTTTGGAAAGGCCTATTGACCTCGCAAAATTACCCAAGCACCAAGGAGCATGCTGGGAATGTAGGTACATGCGCTGCACATATTGGCTTTATCTGTGTAGAAGATTTGAACTAAAACACCAAAATAAAACTTTGACGAAGGCACCACGTGCAAAGCGGATTTTCTTTTAGATTTTTTGCTTTAAACAAATTGCCACTGTAGACGTCGGAACGCGCAGCGCGTGTACTTACAAACCCAGCATGCTCCTTGATGCTTGGGTAAATTAGCAAAGGGTCTATTGGTGCGAGCATATGAAGCGCTAGACAGAGTCGCGTGACCGTGCCAGCGGCTTTGAAAGTGTTTTATGATCCTCGAGGAACGTTACTAATTTTCAGTGTTGGAACTGACGCGTTACAAGTAACGACGTTACTAGTGACGCGTGAGTTTGTTTTACTAACATACTCGTTAGAATCCCCAATGACTAACAAGTAAAGTAATGTCATTATTTTACAGTATCTATCAAATTACATTACCTGTTACTCGTTACTTTTGAATAAAAATGGCCGCATGATAGTTTGAAAGCAAAATAATTTTTATTCTGCACACTACAAAAAGCTGCAAAGAAATCCCAACAAAGCTATGTATAAACTGCGTTATTTCAAACTCCTTATTATGGCCCGGGTTAAGTGCTATGTTTTAACTGAAGGGAACGAAGTCAGACAATTTGCTGTTTAAATGTTTGCTCTGTATGCCAAAACTCGTGCTTTCGAGCACATTCAGGTTAAAATGTCGTCGTTAAGCTTTCTTAACCGAAAGAACGCACCTTTCTTTCGAGATTGTTTTGCTAGTCGCAGTTTTTCAGGTACATCTCAAAATACTTATTAATGTAAACTAGCGAAAATGTCTTCGAAAGCGGCTTAGTTTAGGTTACTTGTATATTTCAGAAGGAGGGTAAAGCAATCATGGAAGTTATGTATAAACACGCCTATTTGACATCTGTTTAAGTTTGCGATTCCCGTTGATTGAGGTTGACGTTCTCGTTGAGCCCGTAGCAGCCAACCGTGCTGAGAGCAACGGGGCCTGAGGCTTCGTTTTCAACCATTTCTTCGGCTAAGTGTAAGTGTCTGGATAGGTATCTTCTGGCTGTCCATTTGTAATGCCAGATGCTTTGTCAAACACCAATGTGACCGTGGCTATTGCTTTCATCTTTTGTTTATCAGGCTTTGCAGATAATTATAAGAAAATTATGTCAGACAGTTGTCTAACTAGATTGAATAATTGCTTGAACTAATGTTTATTTTTTTGCTACTTAAACATCAATTGCAATTTTGGAAACTGCAACAGTGAGGGGCTCAACGGTGCTGTGCAGTTAGCCAGAAGCCAACAGCTTTGAGATATTGATTAATTTTATTTCAAGTTATTTGTTGTGTGATCTAACTGGTTGCAAGATTACCGTAAGTTCTATCCAAAATAACCCATAAAGGAGTGTGATACATGTGACAATGCTAAAAGCATGTTACCAGCATGACAATGATAGTCCAGCAACACGTATATCACTCTTGCACACATCAATTTGCGTAGTGCTTGCAGATATCCCACATAGAGTTTTGAAATTTGGGTGATATAAATGTAAAGAATGATTGATGGACATCCCCTTATACCTGTTGCTTCCATAGCACTACATGTAAATTGCAGCATGAATGACAAAATAAGTAATGAAAAAAAAAAATTTCTTCCCGTATTATTGTTGCAAAGGCTTTGGTGGCTCGAAATGTGTTATTTGAGGCACTTATAATTAGCTTGTTGGAAAGAGTGTTTTCGAAAAAAAGTCCCTGCCGAAGCTATTGGTCAGATGGGAGTGCAGCGCAATGTCCAACGCTTCTGCGATCACACACTGCAGCTCAACTGCTTGTTACTGCTTTGGTCTCCTCCCCATCAACTCCTGCACACTCTCGCAGAGCTCCAGGCATAGGCACTCACGGGCTCTCTTAAACTAACAGATTTTGAATTTTATATCTGGAGTTTATAACAATGCACTTTTTAAACTTCAAAGTAATGACCCGAGCGATGCTTCGTTTCTTCAAATTTGTGCACTTCACACTCTCTGGTGCCCTCTTTTTATACTGTCATTATTTTTTGTAATACACTTCCAACACTGACGTTTCTTTATGGGAAGTGCTGAAGTCAGCCCTATAACAGACTATCTGTGCAAAGTTTATAATGAGGCAACAGAAGACAGTTATTTTCCCATTCAATATCTACAAACTGATAGTATTTAATGGGTACAGGAGCATGAATAGGAGAGTGTAGTGAAACAATGTCCATTTGATACCAATTTCAAAGCTATCAGTACAAATTATATATACTACTCCATAGAATGTTCATGTTGTACTGCATACTCATGGTTACTGGTTTATAGGATTTACATAGTGTGCACTTTTGAGTGTTGAGTCATAACACCTTTCACAGATTCTCCCAACCTGCAAAGCTTTTTTCTTATTTTTCACTAACCTCCTAGGGTTAGTTCATATTTTCTTCATCCTGACTGGCATGATAACATCATTTGCAAAACATTTATTTTTAGTAGGCATTGTCCAGGGAGGAGCTCTATTGTACATACTACAGCGGACTCTCATTAATTCAAACTCATGGAAGTCACAGATTTTAGTTTGAATTACCAGAAATTCATCTAAATATGATGCTAGATGACATTATGATTTGTTACATGGATAGGTACACATACAAAGCAGATTTTGGCCAGTTTACTCTACATAGGCCTAACTATAAGCAAGTACAGGCATAACGCATTGGTGAAAGAACTGTGACGTTAAGTTTATTCATCCAGCAAAAAAGTTGTCACTTGTGGACTGTTTCGTCAGCACATGAGACACATGAGATCTCAAAACAAAATTTTCAATACCAGCCAATGCAAGTAGCTCTTTACGGAACTTTTCGTTTGCAGACAGAAATTTCCGGAGCTGAGCGATGTGCTCAAAGGCCTCTGCGGCTGTGACAGTTGGTAGTGGGTCATCCCTTTCTTCATCGTCATCTTCACTCACTGCTGCACTGTGCTGGCATTACTTCCTGTACTACCGTAATATCCCGAGTCATCGCCCATCCCCGAGCCATCGCCCACCCAATTTTTTGGGCCAATATCGATTTCCGAAAAAACACCGAGTCATCGCCCACCCCTTCAAATACCCCAGCGCGGACTCGGCGATCCGCGAACACTCATCCTACCCGAATGACGCGGCCGCGGACCTTATTGTTGGAGGACGTTCGTGACAAAGTAAAACGAAGGAGGGAAAGACACTTCTTTTTGTTTACGAATTTCCTCCGTGAGCGACCCACAAGTGGTCGTGTATCCGTGCGAAAAGAAAACGATGGAGATAACAAAATAAGAGTTTGTTAATGTAACCGCTGAGTGCTAGGTCAAAGTCTGTCTCCGCCAAAGTAAGGTCACCGTGAACCCGCTCCTTCTTCCCACCCGTCGCGACCGCGGTTGTGCAATATTTTAGGCAAAGCCAACGCGTACATAAAGCTTTTCTGGAACGCCCCACACAGACGTTTGCAGAGCGTCCCAACCGTACATTGATAGCCCGCCGTGTACGGACGCACGTATGTACCCACCAAACAAGAAAGTTGCGCAAGAGCTTGCAATTGACAAGGCGTCCGACTTGGCCCGACGCCAAAGTATTTGCCAACGCAACCGCGGGCTTTCCCGCTTTCCCTGCATTGCTCTTGGCCGCTTCTTTGCTTCTTTGATCCGCTCGCTCGCTCGCTCGTTGCGCCTGGTCGGTTTTTCTATTTTCTTGTAGACTTTTCTTTCTTTTTTTTTTACTAACTAGGAGAACATAGTGGTGACATTCTTTCACGGAACAAACGTTCGCGCTATATGCAGATCGGCGGTGTTTCCTAGCGCATATGCAAGCAACGGACTTTGCTATAGTAAAATATTCTTTCGTGAGCATTTTTCTCTATAAAACAATGAAACTAAATCGAGTTTTGAGTTTGATGTATCTCTTGTGAATCAGCGCTAGATACGCAGAGAAAAATAGGTGGTTTTTTCCGCTTTTTTTCAAGTGTTTGTGCTCACCCATTGAGACATGGCCCACCCCACTTTTTTAATGAATTTGAGGCGGTAGGGGGGTGGGTGATGACTCGGGATATTACGGTATGTCCTCTAATCAGTCATCACGACAAACACACACATCGTCATCAAGACTAGCATATTCTGCCAGGGGGGGGAGCTCACAGATGGCTATTGTTGGGCAGGAGTAAACTTGTAAATTTCAGCATAACTTGGCAAACTGCAAGGGCTACAGCTCCAGAGAGCTGTTCAGAGCATTGAAGCAAAGGATTGTGACACGACACCGTACTCGTGCACGTCCTTTGTAACATGATTCTCTCCGTCCTCTATCTCTCCAAGTGATGCATGAGGGCTGCAGTGCATGACATTTTTGACGTCACCTTGGATCAGGGAACATCATTGTATTGGAGAACTGAGCACAATGTGCGGCAACCTTAATCCAGACGTGATCACTTATCATAATTTTACCACATATGTTGGTGGTACAACAGACTGGAGTGCCTAACCCCACAACTTCTTTTCATTGGCAGTTGGTAGAGTCGCCGTATAGACGTTTGTATAAGATTTAAAACAAGTAGATCTGGCACACTCACACCAACCGTCATCTGTTATTATTGTGTACTCAAGCACTGTTCGGCTAACTGGGACATTGGTACTTTTTCAGATGTTGTTGGCACAGATCAACATCTCATTGGTGGATTCTCAACTTAATCTCATAAAAGTTACCAAAAAGAATGGATTCTTGCTACGTTAGCAGGCATGTACGAAGGTCATGCAATACATTTCCTCTGACAGTGGAAAAATTTGGGATATTGAGTGATCCCACTTTGAGGAAAATAGCTAGGTGACCTTAACTTGAGAAAAAGAGAAAGACTAACATAACTTTGTTGATTATGATGTAAATATTTCTTTGTAATTTTGTCGTACAAATAGTTTCAAACAGTGAGTTTTACTGCATTTACTTTAACAAATGGTTTCATTGGCACTTTTTCAGCAGTGCAGAAATGGCTAAATACGTGAAGGTGGTGTCCTTGTGCTGTGTTCTGTTCTCTATTGGACAGGTTTTGACTCGTGCTCCTAATATTGTTGTTTTGCTTCATGAAGTTCGTATCCATGTGAGGGCACGCAGCAGTAGTGTTATGCAACTGACATGTCCGCTTTGAGATGGAAAACCCATATATTCTTTTATGACAATCCAAACTGTTCCCATATGCTCATCAGTGTTTTCTAGAAGCATGCCAAGAATTGGTGTCTTTTGATATGCCGTGTGTCTGTGCTCAGTTTCATACCTATCATCAGTGACAGCGGAACATCCCTATCATCAGTTTCATACCTATCATCATATGCAGGTACTCATAACGTGACGAGCAGAACAGAAAAAGAATGCACCTTCAGCGCGTGCTCATTCTCTTCTGCTGTGCTTTGGCTGCTTGTGCATCCTTGTGCTGTCAGGGCTAGTAAGCTCTAACTGGGCGCAGAGCTTCCACTGTACTATCGCCTACATTGTCACAGGCTACAGTATGCAACAATATTGGTTGCCGTAAGGGCAGGGCATCCATTTAGCACTTTAATATTGCACGTGCTCTGGGCAAGTGAGGTGATCGACAAAGCCACGTGCTCATACCTACCAGGGTTGGGCAGAAATACTCAAAAATGTATTTGGAAATACAAATACTGGGATACATTAAAATAGTAGTTAAAATACTGATACTGAAATATATCTGTAAAAGTGTATCGCGATACGTATCGGAAATACATTTTAAATAGAGGCAAAAAGTATTTGGAAATACAAGTACAGGAATACATTTCAGGGAGGGCAGAAATACAAATACAGAAATACTGATACTGCAATACATTTTCAAATTTGTTTGAGACGACAAATGAGATGAAGTTGGAAGTTGGAAGTGGAAGTTTCAGAGCGCAGCTCTTAGGCGCCCGTTTCCGGCTTGAGCGGCGTCGGCGTCGCCGTCGCCGTCGGCGTAACCGCGCGGTGTATTATGGGTAAATTTTCCCGAAGGAACCCGAGGTCCTCCCGAGGTCCTCCCGAAGGAACCCGAGGTCCTTCGGGAGGACCTCGGAAGGACCTCGGGTTCCTTCGGGAGGGCCTCGGGAGGACCTCGGACTCCTTCGGGAGGACCTCGGGTTCCTTCGGGAGGACCTAGGGGGGGGGGGGGGGGGGGTCACGTGACGATGACGTCATCAGTGACGATGACGATGCGGATCTCGATCACGTCATCAGTGACGTCACTGATGACGTCATCAGTGACGATGACGATGGCGATGCGGATGCCAATGACTTCATCGGCATCCGCATCGTCATCGTCATCATCACTGATGACGTCATCGTCACGTGACCCCCCCAGGACCTCGGGTTCCTTAGGGAGGACCTCGGAAGCACCTCGGGTTTCTTCGGGAGGACCTCGGAAGGACCTCGGTTTCCTTCGGGAGGACCTCGGAAGCATCTCGGGTTCCTTCGGGAGGACCTCGGGAGGACCTCGGGCTCCTTCGGGAGGACCTCGGGAGGACCTCGGGTTCCTTCGGGAGGACCTAGGGGGGGGGGGGTCACGTGAAGATAACGTCATCAGTGATGATGACGATGCCGATGACGTCATCAGTGACGTCACTGATGACGTCATCAGTCATGATGACGATGGCGATGCGGATGCCAATGACGTAATCGGCATCCGCATCGTCATCGTCATCACCACTGATGACGTCGTCGTCACGTGACGCCTCAGGTCACGTGACCCCTCCCCCCGAGGTCGCGTGATGTCCCAGGTCACGTGACCCCCCCCCCCCCCTTTCCGAGGTCAACTGATCCCCTCAGTACCCTTCCCTCCTCCTCCTCAAGAGCTGCGCTCAAATTCGGCGTTACAGGGAGTTGTAAACGGCTTTCATTTTTTTTATCCTGAAATTACTTTCCTGTAGGTTTGGCACTTTGCTTTGAAGGTAGTGAAGGTACTGAAAATGGCAAGCAGAGTCGGACCAAGTGAATTAGGGATAACAAGTCGGTGATGGTCACTGGTAACAATGATCAACACCTTGTATCTACTGTTTACATCGAGCCTGCTTACCAACCTTCAAATTTCAGTCTTCTGAGGCCTGCACTTACTTCTTATCGCAAGTACTGGGCCAACATTTGGTCTACGGGCCGGCGTCGTCTAAGAGAGCAGATGACAAGCAGAAACGTTTAAAAGAGCAGACGACAGTTCGAACGATTAGGCGGCCGTTTGAACTTGAAGACGCACTGAACGTAGTCCGCAGGTGGTCCGCACAACTCGACGGTTTTCTGGCGTTAATGTGTGTACAAAACAAATAAATCTAATGAACACAAGTATCCGTGAATTTAACCCAAAGTGCTTCCCGCCCAAGCAATCATTGTCTGACGGCGTCTGCTTTTCCCTTTTCACGGCACATTTCCAGATTCTCGGACGAACCGAGCACGTGAAAACTGACCTTCAACCCTTTCTCGACACTTTTGGTACGGCGCCAGTCGCAGCGTTTTGACGAGAAGGCAGGTTTTTGTTTGGTTCCTTTCAAAACGACGCAGGAATACACGTCTCACATGGGCACTTCCGCCCACAGCCCCAGACTGGAAATGCGACCGACGCGCCACCACCGCGCCATGACGTAACAGAGATTCAATTCAATTCAATTCATTTATTTACTCCCATTTGTACATATGGGTGACGGAGACAGGGAAAAAAGCTGCAAAATGTGCAACTTGACAAAGCCCCTGCCCCCTATCGGCAGATCGGCAGACAGGAAACGTTGGTGTATCCTTTATCTGTAGGTGTGGCCTTCAACGTGAAACTTTAGCTCGCTGCTGTATGAAAGGACAATACGTACTTTCGTTGTAGGTTACCTCGTTGCAGATCGTGCAAGCAGTGTTATTTAGAATTTTCGAGAATATTGGAGCACATAAAGCAATTCGGAACGCATGTCTTATCTTCTGTTACGGTTGAAAAAACAATACGGTGGCATCCCTGTTGTGAAGGTCCCTCTTGCCGACCCTCCGCCACCGACGCATGGATTGCAGTCCTCAAGTTTCGTCTTGCGTACTCCAAATAGGGACCTCATGGATTGCGACCTGATATTGCCGGCAGAGGTGTGAGCTCTCCGAGAAACAGCGCGCTCGAGACGAGCCGCAGGTGTACGAAGTCTGGGTCGTCACAGCGAGGCCACGTCAGACATCCTTTCTGTGTTTCGGATCACCAGAGCTACGGGTCCCTTTCACACAGGCTGATGACGTACCCTTGAGCCGTGCAATATTACGGGCGCAGCCGCAGACGTATTCGAATATGCGTTGAACTTCACTGCCTGAGTCATCCTACTGTTTCAAGTCAACCACCACCAGGCTCGGGCTGCAACGGACTCTGACTCAGCTTTGTCGGCTGAGTGTACTGTGTACGCTAAGGCAAGAGAGAAGGTTAGCAGCGAGCTTTAGATGCCAGCAAACAATGACTCAAGAAACCCTTACCTAGGGACCTGCGACACAAGATGCTGTGACTTCTCTCCTGGCATGCCACCTGGTTCGAGTCCCCGACTACGCAACACTGAAGAGGACGCATAGAAAAAACAGTTTTAAGAATCGGAAGGAACCTTGGTGAGCATGGTAACATTGTCCGAGCATCTCCCTAACTCTGTAGGTGCCCTCAGAAGTAAAAAAATTGCGTTCGGATTTGTTTTTTTGTTTTTTTTTTCTGGGGGGGGGGGGGGGGGGGGGGCGGAGGAGGAGTATTTCTCAAGAAATGTAACGAAATACCTTTCACCCTGATTGTATTGCGATACAAAGGAACATTCAAAATGTATTTCGATACAGGAATACAGATACTTGTGAAAAAAATGTATCGCGATACAGAAATACAGATACGAAATGTATTTCTAAAATACTATCGCGATACATTTGTATCGCGATACTGCCCAACCCTGATACCTACAACTTTAATATCGTAGTATACAAAGTATGAACTGGGGATAGCATTATTAACAAGTTACACAGCATGGCTTATAAAGTGTTACCTACTTTTCGATGTCACCGATGATGACGTCAATCCCGCAGAGGGTCGGGGAATCGTTCCCGATAACATTCAAAACAGTCTCGACAAGTGGTGTCAGCTGATGGGGGTTGGGACCAGCACCTATGAATTGAAGTACACTCGTTTTATTTACTAGGATGTAAGCACAATTAAAGGTCGGGGTGCACATTATTCAACATAGTATCAAGGTACACATGAACAGAAAACGTGTAAACATGTAATTGCCAATAATGATCAGATTTTTTTCTTACCTTCTCTGTTTTTTTTTCACCCTCGGGTTCCTATTACCCAGTCTCAGGTAATAGGTGATGTTGGGCAATCAATTTCTTTTTTTTTATTTAACAGCAAACTCACTGGCACCAGCTATTGGCTAGCCCTGGCCCACTATGTGCCTGAATCAGTGGTGTCAGAAGTGTTTGAAATGTGGAGGGGCAACAGGGGTCACCGAGCTTAATCCCGCCCCTTTTTGCGCATTGTTTACCACAGCTGTCTGAAATTTCAAAGGGGGGGGGGGGGGGAAGGGGGTCTGAAGCCCCCTGCCCTTGTTCCCACACTACTTGCCTATGTACATTTTTTTTTCTGTGTTTATTTGAACAATAGTGTTTAGAGTGATCAAGACAACGTTTTTGGCAAGCAAAATTTGGACATTAATTTTGAGAAATTACACAGGCCCACTGCGTGGAACAGGACCCAAGGTGCATTGGTGCTATTTCTGTGTAAGTACGACTGTGTTGAAAGTCGTGCGAGGAAGAGCTAATTAATCTTCGGGCTTGCCCTCTGATGATATTGAGCGAAATGTTAGTCGTTGCGCATTGAATGGGGTCTTCGGTTGAGACATTTGCCCCAAAAATTTGATAGGCTAATATATCACTCTCCAATAAATTTGTACAGTGCACCCAAAGTTTCCAATAAAGATTTTACAAATATTGCCTTTTTTTTGTTTGGTAGCGCAAACATTAGAACTTACCTGCCCGTTGGTCATGTTCTTTGTACGATCTGTACAAAGTTCGCCACTTTTTATGACGCCAATCATTATTTCCGGAAAGAAAATTCTTTTTTTTTTGTGTCTGAAATATCAATTTACAACCAAATGAGACGAAATCACGTGCAACTTACAAGAAAATCATTATAGTTTATTTTTTACAGACATATACGCAATTGTATACAAAGCGTCTCAAAGGTCATGAAACAGGGGGCTTTCAAACATGAAATCTGTAAAAGCAGTTGCGGTCCTTCGTCAGGCAAAGCGGGACGCGGCACTTCTTACAGAATATTCGGGATCTTCCTCTGCATCTTTCATACTTGCACCTTGATGGGACTGCTTAATTTCGGGCTTCTGGCCAGTGATCCACGCCATCGTAACGGCTATTTGAGCATGGCCGCTGGATGCGCGCTGCCTTGTGCGGAGGATCCATGGGAGCATCTTCAATTTCTTGTGATGGCCTCCCACGCTTTCTCTTGCTTGGCACAGACGTGATGAGGGCCTCCGCAATCTGCAGGCGGAAATGCATGAGGTCCAGTAGCCTTGACCTCCGCATGTCCGGGTGATCCTGTATGTACTCTAGCCAAGCATTGCATACAGCAATGTCTACAAAATGAAAGAGTGCTCTTAGAATCCACTTCCTTGATTTCATTTTGATCCGGTACAGGCTAAGCAGGAAGTCCATCTTGTCGACGCCTCCCATATTCTGGTTGTACTTCGTAATTACTACAGGCTTCTCTACAAAAGATGTTTTCACGCTTGGCCTTGTACCATCTTTTTACCTGATGTTGGTTTCCGATTCCAACGAAGTTGAAAGCCACACATACGCTGCTGTTGTCCTTCCACGAAACCACAACAATATCGTCACTTGTGACATACTCAGTGGAGTACCCTCGCGTTTTCTTTTTCATTACTTTAGCTGGTTCAAGAGGACACTTGCCCAGCCTGTTACTCCGCACAGTCCCTGCGGCGAGAATCTTTTCGTTTCGCAGTTTGCGGAGGAGCGGCACTGACGTAAAGTAATTATCAAAGTAGAGTTGATAATTACAGCCAGTTGGGATTCTTTTAGACAGGTGTACTACAACACCAGAACAAAGGCCGTAGTCTTTTTTAAGCTCAGCAGGAATTGTGTTTCCCCCTGATGAACCGCAAAGTCGTAAAGCAGGCCGCTCCTACCGCAGAGAGCGAATACTTTGATCCCCCAAGGGGTCGGCTTGCCTTTGACATACTGTTTGATGGAAAGTTGGCCTTTGAAGGGAATCATCTGTTCATCAATTGACGATTCTTGTTCACTGGCAAGCTCCAAACACAGCTGCCTTATCTGATCCAAGAAAGGGCACACTTTCCACAGGCGATTGTAGTTTTGTTTGCCAGGAGCTTCAGCTGCAATATGCATAGTGTTGCGGAGCTTGAAGAATCTTTTCTCAGACATGGTCTCGCTTCCAGCGAACTTTCATGATGGGGTCCCAGTAGAGCCTGACGCGAGGCAGAGCAATGACACCCATCAGAATATGGATACCAAAAAGCTTCCTTATTTTGTCAGCTGTCGTGTTCACATTATTGTGGGTTTCTTGGACGCTGTAAAGATTCGTCTGTTCCGCCATGCACTTGAAAATGGATTCTGGCACGTACCTTGAAAAATACGTGTGCGGTGTACACGTTTCGTCCGGCTCAGGTAGGCAGTCGCCGTGGCCGCTGAAGTCGATATTTGGTGGGGGGTCGAATCTTCTCTTTTTCCACTGAAAGTTCTTCACAACATTTTCCTCCGGACCTCTGTCTTGCAATAGTGGAGTCTGGTGCACATTTTCTTCGTTTTCGCGTCCAGAGGTTATGTTCTCATCGATTATTTCTTGAGCAACGTCATCTTCGTCATCGCTTTCTCCGACGTCGGATGTGTTCCTGGAAGCAATCTTTTCTAGTAATCGGTCGGCCGACTCTTTTGTCGCGGCATGGGGCTTTGCTTTATAAAAAGCTGTGCAAGGCACTTCCAGAAAGCCTGAAAAAGTCATAATGCGGAACTTTAGGCAGCGCGTTTGGCACACGGTCATTTTTTGCTTCCATTGTGACACTTTGTGCACAATTGTAACCATGCACTAATTGCGCTGTTGGCGAGGTGCTGTTTGTGCTTAGGCGAAATTATTTTGACCATACACAGGATAAAGCATTACAAATAGCTTCCATATTTTATTATATCCTCGGGACAAGAAGGAAAGTCAGCAAAAATTGTTAGAATTGCCTTACCTGGCAGTGCCGTCCCGCGCGCTGCCATGTTGTCTGTTTACATGTATATTTGCTTCACCACTTAGTAGATGGCGCTGTAAACGCTTAGGTTGTCAGATGAATAGTAGACAAATTGTCTAAATTCATCAAAAATGCAGAGTTTCGGAAACGCTCATTCTAGAGGCCGCGGTTTTGGAACATGGCGTCTGAAAGGGTTAAGTAATTTTCTCCATGCTTCTTGAAATTGCTTACTGAATGTGGAATTTGATGGCGGCGGGTAATGGAATTGGCGACTTGGTCCCAGGCGCGTCTTTTGGTTTTAGTAGTCACGGTAGGGCCGAATTTCCCCAGGATTTGATATTTTCGAGCCTCAACTTCCCGGACTAATTTCAATTTTTCATCTAGGGTCCAATTCTTTTGACGCAGCGGAGCGGTCCCCTTTGAGGTCGCTCGGTTCATTTTCGTTTGCAGAAGGAGCATGATCGCCTGCTACCTTGGTTTATTTATCTACACAATCGCAACATTCCTGCCAACTGTAAAATTAATTTTCAGAAACAACGCGAAATAACAAACAAGTGCATTTCCAACAACTTGAGTATTGTTTATTTCTCGGTTCTACAACTTTTGCAGACGGCACAACGAAGTTGATTCGGAAAAACTGCACGTACCGGCTTTCTTGGAGGGCGAGTAATTGAACGATTGGCAGGTCCCCGGTTCAGCATTTCACATAGCATTTCACTAAATCCAGAGAAATTTCTGCTACTCATCACTGATAAAATCCATCGGACCGTTGGGCTGCTGTCCGCCGTTTATCTGCAGAACAGTTGATGCTGCAGTCACACTGTAAGCACAATACGAGGATTTTGTACAAAATGGACACGCCGAACAGAAATTTTCCCGGTGTGACTACTTTCGATAAACCGCAATTGCTGCTCAAAAGGCAACTCTCTGTAATTCTTCCTTTCAATAAACATATTCTGATCCTGGTCCTGCTTGAAGTTAGTTTCATAGTGCTCAACATAACGTGTGTATGAGGCTTGCCTCGTCACAACCCTATTGTGAAATGTTTTGGTACTCACCGTAAAACACTTGTCGTACTCGGCTATTGTGTTCCTTGGAACACGTTCCACATTTTGGCGCTGTGATGCATGATTCTTGCAGTGCTTCAATGAAGCCAGTGCGAAGCTTCGACAAATCGTTGACTCTGAGTTGTACTCCGACAAATCGGTGACTCCGAGCCACTGTTTGTCGATGGGCTGCTGCTGTCGACTTCAGTCGCAGTCCCCTCGAATTGTCAATTTCTTTAAAGGGTGACTCCGCTCAATTTCGAAAATTTCGAGATAGTGGCCGATTTTGCTTTAAAAAGCACTCAAAACAATTCCCAATCTTTTGTTTCGCGGAAAAAAATATTTTTCATGCAGTTTTACTCTAGCCATTATCGCAAACCGAAACCGAAATGGTGGCAAAGCCGGACAACATTGTATCTTCAGCATCACTAAGCATATACATCCACGTGATATACAAGGGGTCACGTGATCTATCACGCGGACATGCGCTTCGCAGTCATCGTTGCGTCGTCTGCAAAGCACGTGCCATCGCACGTCAATACGCACTGAACACACAAGTCGCGCTCCACAAAGTGGTGGGCCTTTCAGTAGGGTATCAATAGTCAAGCGCCGAGCCGGCCGAGCACTGCTCACGTCTCTCACGGCGCTTGCGCCACCCATGCTCTCCCCGAAAAAAACAACAAAAAACTGTACATGCTTGATGACGTCACGGACGTGACGGGAGAAGGAATTTGGAGGAAGCGGGAATACAGCCAGGCAGTGTTGTCTGGTCCGCACGTCTCATCCAAGACCAGCGGATTCGTGCTTGTCAAACTTTGACAGCGATTTTAATGAACTTCTAGGCGGAATTCCGTCGTAATATTTGCCGTGTGGGCTTTGTAGATGATAACAAAGAGAACTGTATTGTTTTGCACTACTGAAAAAGAAGCGGAGTTGCCCTTTAAGGCACAACTAGGATACTTCTACACCCTTAACTTAGAACACGGAACCTAAATCATCGCTCTGAAGACAAACACCAATGCGATCACGAACGTGGAAACTGCGTACGCCGCAGCCATTTTGTCAAACGACGCGACGGGGCCATGCGTAGCTTCCCACATCCCTACCGAGCCAGTCACGTGACTTCAAAATTCCTCTCCTAGGTACTGCAGTTAACTTTAGCCGCGGTCAGCGCTTTGAGGAAACGGGCCCTAATGGCTAATTATGTTTGCTTTCTTTACGTGTGCTAACAGCTAAATATATAAATGTAGTATTGAGATAACTATGGCTGTGTTCAAGGTGGTCGCATATTAGTCTTACCTGTAAAGATGCCACCAGATTATTGACTACAGCCTTTCGGGTTCGTACCCGTTTTAAATCAGTATCCCAATCGAGTTCCCTTTTTCAGGCAACTGTACAGGTGTTCGCACGGATCACTATGACTATGGACGCCATCATATTATTTCAGCTGCTAATTTGGCTTTATTTTACTTTCGGAAATCACAATGAGCCGTTGGTGCAGTGCACTAGGGTTAACAGATAAAACATAAAAGTGTGACCCTCACTTAAGCATGCATCTCAGCGACTGGGCACGAAAGCTAAGCAAGAGCCCGCTCAATGATGTCCACATATCTGTTTGATAGGCTAGCTGCTGCATGAAACAAATTTTGTACCAACTATACTCTGTTTCACCTTAAGTTGTACCGCAGCGAAGGATAGAAGGCAGATCTCGGTGGCACGAGAGCTTGTGCCGCTGAGATCTGCCCTAGAGCAAGAAGCTCGCGCATGTAGCCTTTCCTGCAGTACATCATAAGGTGAAATAGAGTATAGCCCGTCTCTTCATTTTATTGCTCTTTGAACTATATACAGATAGGAAGATGCCATTTTGCTTTGGATATTTGTCTGCATATTAAGTGTCGTTTATGCAATGCATGAAAAATATGACGGATCAGCTCTATTTCATAAAATTTAACATAAAACAACTATTTGCTTAATTATCGTTGCCATCCCTGATCCCCACTTCGCTAACGCGAGCAGCAACGGCGATTTTTAGTTTTAAATGCTACACAAACAGAAAACGTGCGGCAGAACTCCCATACACGCACAAACACAATAGCAGAAATGATGACAGCCCGGCGGGCACGTGCGCACACATATGCATTCCTGTGCGCATCTCATTAAGGCTTTCGAAAAAACAGCAAAGGAAGATATACCGTAATATCCCGAGTCATCGCCCACCCCCCTACCGCCTGAAATTCATTAAAAAAGTGGGGTGGGCCATGTCTCGGTGGGTGAGCACAAACACTTGAAAAAAAGCGGAAAAAATTGCCTATTTTTCTCTGGGTATCTAGCGCTGATGCACAAGAGATACATCAAACTCAAAACTCGATTTAGTTTCATTGTTTTATAGAAAGAAATGCTCACGAAAGAATATTTTACTATAGCGAAGTCCGTTGCTTGCATACGCGCTAGAAACACCGCCGATCTGCATATAGTGCGAACGTTTGTTCCGTGAAAGAATGTCACCACCGTGTTCTCCTAGTTAGTAAAAAGAAAGAAAAGTCTACAAGAAAATAGAAAAACCGACCAGGCGCAACAAGCGAGTGAGCGAGCGGACCAAAGAAGCGACCGAGAGCAATGCTGGGAAAGCCGGCGGTCGCGTTGGAAAATACTTTGGCGTCGGGCCAAGTCGGGCGCCTTGTCAATTGCAAGCTCTTGCGCAACTTTCTTGTTTGGTGCGTACATACGTGCGTCCGTGCACGGCGGGCTATTGGGACGCTCTGCAAACGTCTGTGTAGGGCGTTCCAGCAAAGCTTTATTTACGCGTTGGCTTTGCCTAAAATATTGCACAACTGCGGTCGCGACGGGCGGGAAGAAGGAGCGGGTTCGCGGTGACCTTACTTTGGCGGAGACAGACTTTGACCTAACACTCCGCGGTTACATTAATAAACTCTTATTTTGTTATCTCCATCATTTTCTTTTCGCACGGATACACGACCACTTTGGGGTCGCTCACGGAGAAAATTCGTAAACAAAAAGAAGTGTCTCTCCCTCCTTCGTTTTACTTTGTCACGGACGTCCTCCAACTATAAGGTCCACGGCCGCGTCATTCGGGTAGGATAAGTGTTCGCGGATCGCCGAGTCCACGCTGGGGTATTTGAAGGGGTGGGCGATGACTCGGTGTTTTTTTGGAAATCGATATTGGCCCAAAAAATGGGGTGGGCGGTGGCTCGGGGATGGGCGATGACTCGGGATATTACGGTAATTGTAAGCTTCTGTTATCTGTAGAATTTCCACCCCTGCCCGTTTCGATCTGGATGAGCATCGTGCAGGCACGCGTTTCTGTACCACTACTGCGTGATGCACATTAGGGAGTTTTAGTGAGTCGTTTCGAGGTGAGCGGTTCGCCCCCACACCACTTGCGGACACCACTGCGCATGCGCATGCAAATCGTTCGGGAGCTGGCAAACGGTTTGGTCGAACCTTTACGACTCGTGGCGCTGGAACTGTTTGCGCGAATGGGAACTATAGAGCACGACTCAGAGCTTTCCAACATGGCGGACCGGTCAAGGCGAGCTCGAAGTCGTTCGGGAGCTGGCAAACGGTTTGGTCGAATCTTTACGACTCGTGGCGCTGGAACTGTTTGCGCGAATGGGAACTATAGAGCACGACTCGGAGCTTTCCAAAATGGCGGACCGGTCAAGGCGAGCTCGAAGCGGCCCAAAAGAAAACCTCCGACCCACGTGGAAGCAGAGATTTGGCTGCCACGGTAAGTGGTTCACGTGAATTCTTATCAGGACAGTGTGAGGTGGACGGTGATCACTAATGCCAGCATGTTAAACCAGTGTAAGGTAGACCCCACACGGAGGACGCAGCCAACGAGGGCTAACGACGCGCAAAAATAAGTCAGACGCGCCGATGAATCGGCGAAAGTGGGTGCTTACACAACTCTTCAGTGGAAACATTGAATCCGGATCCTTCGCGTTTAAATAATGTAAACTCG